CCTGAAAAAGAAGGCGGCGACGAGGATCAGGAAGTGAGCTCAGATGAGGACGAAGAGGTGGATGATGAAATGACCAGTGATAGCAGTGACATGACCACTTTAGATTCTGAGGGTTCGTTCTGAAAGCTGACAGCCTTTCATACGTTCTGAGCTTTATGCAGTTGATTTGTTTCAGTGATTAATCCGTTCGACGAATGATTTTCTTCGAATTGAATGAGAAACGTAATGAATTCATATTTGTTTAGATTGGAAATCTGAAGACTTAGAGAAAGAAAAGAAGAGAAAAGCGATTGCGATGTTGAAAGAGCCGAAAGATTTCAAACCGGAAGATTATCGGGTGGTACTAAAGTGTGATAAGCAAATGGCGAAAGGTCAGCTGAAGGGTGGTACGGTGGTTAATTTTGATGAGTTACCATTCTCGAAGCATGCAGACTCGGTTCAGAACGCGATTGATGCTTGGCAATGGATCATTGCACCGATGAAAGTGGATGAATTTTTCGAGTTAGTTGTTTGTAATTTGGTGAATTTGGACTTTGTTTCATATGGGTTAGGAGTATCAGTATCTTGCACTGAAGGGCGTCTATGTATCTCCTTGATATTGAGAATGAATTTACTGAGTGAGAATAAATGTCACCGTTGTGTTCCTATATCATTAGTTATATCGTAAGGCTCTTTATCAGTGCTTTCTTGGTAATGAATTTGGATACATTGCAGTAACATCTTCGAAAATAAAACATTGGTGGTGCACAGAAAGAATCCACAATATTATGGCAATCTGTACAGTACGAAAAAGTTCGTGAAGATTTTACAAGAGGTATGTGTATGTGTAACTTATTTTCTGTCCTGTCCACCTTAGTTATGATGACTGCTTTAAAATAAAGTATTAACACTTAGAATTTGGGTATTGAAATGATTTACTTTGACGAGTTTAGCATTATTTGGAATATGGCACCCATGTGAATGCGGCTGTGTATATCGATGGTGAACGATACACGCCAAATGGAATTGGCAAGGTGTATCCAAATGAGATACGTGCCCATCTCAATGTCAGTTCGTTCATTTGTTCGTTTTTGTTTTATTTTTCACTTTATGTCAAATAGTAGTCGAATTGGAGAAATATGGTTGAGGTAGCTATCCGAGTGGTACATAGATATATGTGCGTGAATATATTTTTATATTTGCTACTTCAGGCTGGCCATTCAATTCAATTTGTTAACCCACAAACATATTGCAATAGCGTATGGCACTTATGCGATACTATCCAAGAAATGTTTGGGTCATTCGTAGGAGCGAATACGTGAGTTTTTACCGCTGGATTTGTTCGTTCGTCTTGGATGTCAATTTGATGATTTTGCCTTAAGTGTATAGAAAATGCAAGATGTTATCGCAGTTGTTGTTGTTTCGGTTAGTGATTTTATTAGATTTTGATTTTGTAGATATTTAACACCAGCCGGAACAGCCGGTTTTGCACCGCATTGGGATGAAATTGATGCATTCTTAATGCAAGTGGAGGGGCGCAAACATTGGAAAGTTTTTGCACCGGTAGGAGAAGGCGATGCTCTACCGCGGGACTCGAGCGGTTCGTTTGCATTGGATTTTGGATTTTAAAGTGGTAGTGGTTGAGCGTTGAGTTGGTTTGAAACTCGTGATTCACAAGATTAGATTCAGGAAACTTCTCGGATTCGGACCTGGCTGGTCGTACACCGGTATTTGACGGATGGATTGAGCAAGGCGATCTCATCTACATTCCGAGAGGTTTCATTCATCAGGTATTCATTCATTCATTGTGCTATTGAAAATGTTTGAAATGAAATTGGTGTTCCACTGATTCTGTTCGTTCGTTTATTTATTTATTTATTCACCTTTCTAGGCAACGTGAAGATAAGTAAGATAGATGTATGCAATTATTAGCCATCACGAACTGAAGTAGCACTTACTTTAACGTTAATCGTGTGCCAGTGCTACTGATGTTATCGTGTTTAAGCCAGACAATCATTTGACTTGTTTCTAATTACCTGTTCATGCTGACTGTTTCACTGTTTATAAGGAGAGTTTTAGTTCGCGGAATAATTTGATCTATCTGCAGTAGTAATAAATGCTTCATTTGCAAACGGATTGCTTGTTGAACTAATCAGTTAAGCTCCTTATTGATGGATGAAAAGGAAATACGTATAAGCAATAATAAAAGTGAAGAGCTGATTGCTGTAACGCAATGTTTGATAACACTGACTGATAAATAGTGTTAGTCAGTCACGATAACGGTGTTATCCTAATGTTTGCTGCTCGATCAAGCGTATCGTTCTGCAGGGCTATACGGATGCATCCACACACTCTTTGCATTTGACGGTGAGCGTGTGTCGTCGTGACGCATTTGTGGATCTGCTCGAGAAGTTTTTGCCCGTGGCGATTAGTTCGTTGGCGGATGAAACTCTCTCAATGCGCAGATCCATGCCGACTAGATATATGGATATGTGCGGCGTATTACCGCTGAAATATGCACTCGAAAAGAAAGCGAAACCGAAGTATGATTTGTTCTGTTTTGTGGTTGTTTAATTTTATTGCTATTACGGTTTCCTTATAATTAAGTGATGAATTTTCTTTGCAAGTTCACAAGAAGTTTCTAAGGGAATTCATTTGTTGCAATGTTCTTTTTTTTTTCAACAGCAGTGAGAGTTTCGTTTAGGATTTTGAGTGTATTGGAGAAACAGTTGGATGCTCTCAAACAAGGTGTTTCGGATGCGTATGAGTCAGCAATTGACATGATGGCACGTGAATATTTGAAGACCGCAATTCCACCGCTTCTCACCAAAGGTACTTTGCGTGTTTATTTGTTTAGGTACAAGATAAGATAATATTAGGAAGATGTGTATGATGGTTCAGCAGGAGAATAGATTTGTAAGTATTGGATGGTTTGAGTAGTAATTGCGTAATATTTTCAAACTGCTCCTAATTCTGACAGTGACTTTGTTTGATTTGAATGTCATTTTAGAACGAGATTACTCATAATTTTTCAAGAGATAATGAATGCTTGCAGAAGAACGCGAATTGAGCGTGACGGGTGGAGAGGGTTTTGATATACTCAACAAAAAAGAGACGAAATTCACGACGAAAACAAAAGTGAAATTCATCAGAAGACATGCGCAAAGGTTGGTGCTTTTAAGTGGAATGGTTAATTTTTGAATAGATTCCGCGTTGAACTGGAGATATATGGAATTTTCTTTTGATTGCTTCTGATTATTTTTTGCTGAATGAATGCGATTTCGATGTGTTTGAGTTCAGGCTCATTTTCGAGAGCGAGGATCGTTGCTATGTGGTGCATCGAATGACGAATTCACGCATCTATGAGGGTCGTCCTGAGGTGACATTCGGTTTGGACGCTGATGTTAGTTGTCTTATGAATGTGCTTTTCTGTTTTCTTAAATTTGAGTCCTTATGAGATCATCGAGTATTTGGACGTTGGGATGGATATGTGCATGGTTACATTATTGGTTGCAGCTTTCGGATGGCTTTGCGAGTCTTCTTGAGACATATCCGGATTGGTGTAGTGTTGGCAGCATCGAGTGTGAAACAGACGAGCAACGTATCCAGCTGGCGAAAGTTTTGTATGGAAATGGNATCATGCTTCTAGTTCTGAAGGTGATACTGAGTGCCAATGCTGTTGTTTTGTGGAAGTGCAGAAATCTATTGGTTCTGTTCGGTGAAGGGTTGAAATGATATCGTTGCTGTCATTATTGTTATCACCATATTGCGTTTAGTGTTTTAATACTTACCAGTTTTGTTGTTTCCATTGTTGTTTACTACTGTTGTTGTTGTTATGGCTTCTGTTGTTACTGAAATCATTTGGAAACAAACAAGGGCTACATAATCAGTTATCATTAATAGAGATTGTTATCGCATATTGACTGTTAATTTGTTGAAAAGTTACTTCCGTCGGGTTTGTCTCACATTCGTCATCTCAGTTCCTGTTCAGTTGGTGATCGAATGAGTGATTTGTTGTATTCACTGAATTGTTAACATCTGAAAAAAGCTTTTAAAAGTTTTAACGTTCATTATATAGAATTTGTTGGTGTTGTTGTTATGATTAGCATTGTTATTGTTACTGCTTCCGGTCTTGTTTGACTTTCATTTTTTGAGATTTGTTGTCATTGTTTTGTTGATTGCAAGAAGTTTATAAACAATATTTTCATGGTTTTCTTTGCATTCTATATATTTTTCTTCAGTTTTCAGCAATGTCACTGTTTGAAGATATGAGAAACATTTAGGATAGTGCTTACGTTAGAGTCTTTTGGAAAGGAATTTGATATCATGTAATCATTGGTATAATCATTACGACAACCTTTATTCTCATTATTGCCATTCGAAGGTTTCATGAGATTTTTTGGTATGAAAGGTGTTTTGATGTGCATTTTGTTTCTGTGATTGCTTTGGGTTTACTTTTGAAAAGGAAAATTGCAATGAACATCAAAAAAAAACGAAATGAGGCGATAGATGGATGTACTTTGTGCAGTGAGGAATGCCATCCGCGAATGGATGATGAGCGATTGACAGAATAAAGTGGTGATCATACCCATCAAGTGTTTGTATGTTTGTTCAATTGAGCACTTTAGAAAGACGGAATGAGGAGGAATGTGAAAGAAAAGTTGACCGAAATGGGAATGAGAGACACACGATCAGATCGAAGTTCTTCCAGGAAAAGATTAACAGGCGGTACTGATTGATCTGAGAATTGCAATGAAATGGAAATGCCGTGAAACGATGGCATGAGATGGTGGTACCGTAGATGTGCAATATAAATAAGCAAATAAGTGAATAAGCCAAGTACACATTCGTCAAGTGTCGCGGATTTAACCTTCGATATCGTAATCATCTAGTGGAATCGTCTCAAAAAGGGCACTGAATACAAATATAGAAACGAGAATAAACCCGAGTACATATTGAGATCACCTTACTTGCTGGCTTGTTTTTATGACCGATAAATTGCAGTACTTCTTATAAGATAAGCAAAGAGAGTCACACCTGACAAACATAAAAAACGATATATTTTAGAGTGCAACGCAATTAGACTCAACAAATGAGCAAACCATTAAAAAAGTGTTATAGGCCACAATATGACATTCGATGTGACATATTTCAATTGAATTGGAACTGCATCGTAAAGCCATCGTGAAACTAACACCTGATCATTTGCATGTCATTGCGAAACATATTCATTTTATGACCCATTAATACTCAAAGTTGAAAATATCTGCATTATATGGAACAAATGGTGTGTGTACAAAGGCATTAAATGTTCGAGTAAAGATAAAATTTGTTGC